ACAACTTCAGGATATACTTGAAATGTTACTTAATAAACGTGGTAAGTTTGGAATTAATATATTTTATACTTTTCTTTAAAAAAATTCCCAAAAATCGCCTTTATTTTCAGAGCGTCTAACTAGGAAGACTTAATTGAGTCTTCCCTTAATTGAGCACGATATTATATAATATAATATTTGTTATTATATAATTATTCTCAAAATATTAAACTGCCAATGAAAGCGCATAATAATTACGTTATTAATTTTTATTTATAGTAAGGAGGCAATTAAAGTTCATTAATAGTTTAGATCTGTATAAAGCTCGAATGGCACACAAATATCGAATGTCTGCCTCGCAGAAAAAGAAGAAATCTTTAGTATACCGCTATAAACGGCCTCACGCAGCTGCATATTACAGAACCTCTTAATGTGAAAGAGAACGCGTGCATGCGCTCAATACGACCGCAAAGAATGCTCGGAAGGTAGATAATAAGGTGCTTGCGAGAGAGGCAAGAGTAAACATTAGGAACTGTTACGCCGACAATCTTAAAATCCAAAGAGAGAGAGAGAGAGAGATAACTGTCGTTTACTGTCGTCATTTGCTATAAACTGCCAGTTTACGTCATAATTCCAGTAATTTTTCCTTAATGATTTATTAAGCGGTTCCATTCGATGCTGATTTTTGGTTTTTTTTATTTCAGATGACTATAACGGCTGGAATCATCCGCCATTTTTTTTTTTTAGACATCCTGATTGGACTACCATAACTCCGAAATAAACAAATATTTTTATTTGAAACAATTTCAGGATATACTTGAAATGTTACTTAATAAACGTGGTAAGTTTGGAATTAATATATTTTATACTTTTCTTTAAAAAAATTCCCAAAAATCGCCTTTATTTTCAGAGCGTCTAACTAGGAAGACTTAATTGAGTCTTCCCTTAATTGAGCACGATATTATATAATATAATATTTGTTATTATATAATTATTCTCAAAATATTAAACTGCCAATGAAAGCGCATAATAATTACGTTATTAATTTTTATTTATAGTAAGGAGGCAATTAAAGTTCATTAATAGTTTAGATCTGTATAAAGCTCGAATGGCACACAAATATCGAATGTCTGCCTCGCAGAAAAAGAAGAAATCTTTAGTATACCGCTATAAACGGCCTCACGCAGCTGCATATTACAGAACCTCTTAATGTGAAAGAGAACGCGTGCATGCGCTCAATACGACCGCAAAGAATGCTCGGAAGGTAGATAATAAGGTGCTTGCGAGAGAGGCAAGAGTAAACATTAGGAACTGTTACGCCGACAATCTTAAAATCCAAAGAGAGAGAGAGAGAGAGATAACTGTCGTTTACTGTCGTCTACTGTCGTCATTTGCTATAAACTGCCAGTTTACGTCATAATTCCAGTAATTTTTCCTTAATGATTTATTAAGCGGTTCCATTCGATGCTGATTGCGACTTTTTCAGATTTCATCGATTAGAGATACTCTTTTTTAAAAAATTGCGAGAAGATTGAAAAGTATTGAAAGCGCGAGAAATTAAATTTGCAATGTCTCTTTAAATAACAATTTTTGACGCTTATTTCGATAATAACTTGATATATAATCGCTCTTCATTGAAAACTTGTAGTATCACTAAAACGTTTCCCGTTTATATATGCTACGAAATGTACATAGTTTTGCGCGAAACGAAATTCGGTAGCGCGCCGATTAATTATACTCGTTAAATTCGCGCATCCCGCGAGATTAACCGATCTAATGAGTCGCTTACAGCAACAAATTAATAAGGCACGTTCTCGCGGAAATCCAATTAGAATTTAGAAATTAATTCTACAACGAAGCAGTTCGCAGGAAAAGACGAGGATCACTTTCACTATGTGCACGCCGCTCGCATTTACGAGTTTCGCCGCAACGAAAGAGATTTCGAGATTTTTACACTTTCGTGAGCTCACATAATATTCATTAGCGAGAATCTCCCGAGACGAATCGGACAAGAGTTATAAACTTGAACGTCAAATTGTCGAAACGTAACATATGTCGATGCATAGGAGTTTAGATAACTGCGCTCATCGCACGCGATAAATGGCTTCTTTATCGCATCCTGAGAACGATATTGTCGTAGCTCTTAAGAATTCAATTTTTCGCGAATATAACTATATTTATTTTCTACCTTTATCGATTGAAAGATTTTTATGGAGTCTTCTCTATAAATGAGAAGAAGATAAAACACAGTTTCTTGTAAAGTCTCAAATTTATAAATGTGTTCAGCTTTTTTGGTAGTTGTAATAATATCATTCTCAGATTGCTATTTATAATACCTGCTGAAAAAAAATACAACAGGAAAGATTCGCTTGCTGCAATTGGTTTATTAAGATGTTGATGACGTTGGCGAAATGTCAATGTCATTATAACTCCATTTGGACCCGCGGAGAAGTTTATCCTTGCCGCTTGCGCTAAAGTATTATACGCATTCGATCGCGATGAATGACGGTGGCATGTTAATACCGAACAAACATCGTTGCTTGCATCGGGGATTAAAAAAGTATCCCAGTATCGATAAAAAATTGTGGGACGCGAGCAGCAGGTGGATATTGCAATGGGATAATATAGTCAAACATCCTGGTGCAAGGGCGCGGGGATGTCACTGCGACATCCATAAGCCTCCGTGGCTGTATCCAGATCTAGGTATACAGTATACATGAATCAATTTTGCCATATAAAAATTAACAAAGCTATTTTTTGATAAATATATAAAATAATTGTTATAATATTAATATATAAATTAGAATAATTCTCAGATATATTCTTATTTTAATGATATTAATATGTTATTACGATGTATGTGCATTATCTTATGTAACATAATAATATATTAATATTAAAACAATACTGAGAGACTACAACTATAAAAATTGTAGAGTATAATAAAGAGTGTATTATATATTTTTGTAAATTATTATCATATCTTTAAATGTTTTTTTACTGTTTTCTGAGGAGTCTACAATTTTTAAATCTTTTAACTAGCGAAGAAGAATGTGCAAAGTCCTGATCTCTCTTGAAGACATTTTCTTTTTCTTTTGTTTCAGTTGGTAAAGACTGTGACGAAATCGATAGAGCGGTAAGTGTAGAGTTCAAAGGTGTGCATTAGAATTTATAAATAGATATGACGTTTTGTGAAGAAAAAGTTTATGTTGCAGATCAAATCGGCTCCTGTCAAAAGGCTGAATCTGCCTCCGAAACGAGGTCAATTTGGGCCTGCTAGGACACCAACTTCTGCCTTAGGTATATCGATATATTGTAAAATTGTTTCATATACTTCACAATCTTAATTATTATTGTGACTTACATCATCAATCTAATATTATCAACTTTTTTTTTTTAATCGAGAGCATGATATGTTGCAAGAGTAGAAACAGTAAAGCAAGTTTCTCTTAAATCTTTTTAATTGATAGCTATTAATGCGAAAATTGCAAGTAACAGTCGATGTCAAATATATGGTGTGGATTTAAATATTTTTAATTTATAAAATCGATTATATTAAACGTACTTTTATGTCGTATTTGGCTAGAATATTAATATTGAATATCAATATTTTAATTGTATTGATATGATAACAGCAGTGTTAGTTTGTGTCGTATAAATCAGCGAGCTTTTTTGTATAATCAGTTGTTTCGTGTATATCTTACTTGAAATGTATCTCTCTTCGTGTTTCATTTGAATCGTAACTCATTGTCGGTGTTGACTAATGTCACAGAAGCACCCAAGTCTCCTCATTGGCAAACAAAACGCACATATGTAAAATACGCTATAATACTTTATTTATGCTTATACGTTTTAACCGCAATGCGGCTTTAGTTTGGCATTGATAACAATACATAGTCAGAGAAACTCGCCAACAAAAGGTCAACGTAATGATGTTGACGTTTCGATGACGAGAATACGCTAACTGTTCGCTTGCATGACAGCTCCTCCTGGTTCATCCTTCACGGTCCCAAGGTCAACAACCATCAAAAGAACTCTGTCAGTAAGATCAGCAGCAGGTATATAATCTCTAAATTTTACTATTGGCGATTACTATTCTAACGTATACTATTTCGGTCTTTTGAAAAATCATACGCAAAGACTTTCGATTGCGAGAAGATAATTGCCTTGTCAATTTATTTAAAGATCCTATGATTAAACAAATTCTGTAATATAATGAAGTTTATGCGTCAATTAATTATAATAAATTATATCAAAGTCCTCTTAATTAGGACAATGTAATATGTGAGTGAATGTCCTATGCATTGTTGCTGTTATCAACCCAAAGCTTCTCATTTGTAACGTGATACAGTGCTTATTTATTATCATTTGCAATCATCATTTTTGTTAATGTGCGATGCATTTCGTATCATTTTGTATGACGGACGACCGCTTACATAGCAGTTTATAGCAAATCGTAACTTTTTGTATCATAATCATTGATAATTTTTTCGGAAAGTGTAAAGCATGAAGAATATTGTTGTCGGAAGTAATTATTATTTATAACACGCATATCATACAATGTACATATCATACAATATTTTCGCATTGAAGTGAATATAAAGAAAATTATCGCTGTTTGTCCAGCACAAGCCGGAGCCGTCGACGAAGAATACTTTATCACTTCGTTTGAAGACGTACCTACTGTAACTCTATTTTCGGCGAAGGATCTCGAAGAACAGATGAAGATTATCAGGGAGACGGTGGGTGACGACAAGAAGGACTGGAAACTGAGAACAGATAGCGTACGTGTTGCTTTAGAAAAATACAAATCTCCCTTAGAAGACTTGTCGACTTTTTCTATTTATCTTTTTGTTTTTGCAGATGAAAAAGTTAAGGGCCATTATACTCGCAGGTGGCACTAATTACGAAAATTTCCACGAGTGCCTAAAGAACATGCAGCGACCATTCGAGCAAGCCTGCACAGACCTTAGATCCCAAGTAGCGCGAGAGGCGTGTGTAACTCTAGCCTTTCTGAGTCAGAGTCTGAAAAACAAATTCGCCAGTTTTGGCGAGGCGGTTTTGCTCACGTTAATGAACCTTATACAGAACAGTGCCAAGGTGAGTCTTGCGGGATAATACTAGATTTCTGTCATTCAGATTTGATTATTGTTCAATTCGTCATATCTATTTAAATTATATGTTCTTGTTTATATCTCGTAAAATTTTACGACAGTCGAATTAAATTTTACCTTTACTTTTACCGTTTTATTTTCATAAAAGGTAAAAGTTTTAATTACCCGTCATTTTCACACGGTAACTAGGTCGTGGCGACAGCCGGTGCAGTAGCAGTTCGGTTTATTCTTCAAAATACCCACTGTAGTCGATATGTGCCTATTATTATATCGTGCGTGAGCAACAAGAGCAAAGACATTCGCAAAGCATCCTGGGAATATCTGACTCTAATTCTGCAGACCTGGCCTACGCAGATATTACAGAAGCACATAACAGCATTGCCGGACGCCCTTAAAAAAGGCATCGCGGATTCCGATCCGGAAGCGCGAGTTTTTGCCAGGAAGTGAGTGTCTTTTCGATAACGATATTTATATATACCTTGGTTTTGTACGAAGTAATCGATTTAATAACATTATAATTTTATCGCTTTTTATAGATCATTCTGGGCATTTAAAAATCATTTTCCAGAGCAGGCTGAGATATTACTTAATAATTTAGACGCGTCATACAAACGCTCTTTGATGTCTCTCAGCAATAGCGGCAGTAGTAACAGCTTAAATGTCGTGGCTAATGCGAGATCGTCGAGCGTTAGTCCACGAACAGCCAGACCTGCGATGAGCGCGGCAGGTGAAGATTTTCTGCTTGTTTATATCTGTAACAAAACGCTCCATTAAAACGGATTACGGTTGCACTTGAATATATCAATGTGTATTTTCGTATCTGCGATTTTAATATAAAGGACTTGTCATTCTCTTTTCATGCTGCTCTCTTTGTGACTTCTTCTCTTCTTTGCATTAAACGTATGAAGGTAGTACGGAAAATTTGCATCAGACCATTGGTCAACCGCACGGTCCGCTCAGACGTACTCCGTCTTTGCCTCGATCTTATCGTCAATCTGGTATCCCGATACTACAAAGACCAACAGACAGTCATTGTAATTTTTTTACCGTCATTTATGTCAGAAATAGAGGTCACACTTACGTACATTCTGTTACATTACACTGCAATTATAAAAGATTTGGTGCACAAATGGAGCTGTTGTCTTTTTTTATTTTTTATCTTGCACAGTTGTAAAGTCCAACTTAATAAAGCTAATATCTTATAAATTAATCAGTTTCAAATATTTCTACAGACCGAGGTACACCGGGTGGAATTAGATCTACTAGCGCGATTGATTTGCAAGCTGCTCAAAGGGCGAAGGCCAGGACAATGTATGCGAATATGAGCAGACAGAAAGCAGCAGCGGCACTTCGTGAGTAATATCGGATTTATTGTCAAAAGATAAATTAATTATTAGCCAATATACGACGAATGTAATTATACTGTATATTTTATGTTGCGTCAGCTCGCCCTAGTAAATCTCCGGATCCTAACACGATTGCTAGTCCAGAAAGAGTTGCAAGGACGAGAACAAGAATGTCGGGAGTTTCGCAATCTCAACGTACGTTTTGTGATTTTCCGCGAAAAATATTCTGTAACAATGAATTAATAACGAAACCATTTAATTTTTTTCCCCAACAGCTAGTAGCAGATCAGGTTCCCCGTCATCTAGATTGAACTACGCCACATATAATCGCGAAAGTGAGTCACTGATAGGTAGACCGAGGCGATTATCCGGACACGGTATCGGCAGCACGAGTAACAGTCGCGAACCCAGTCCACAGAGATTTGGAATGGATAGAAGTTTCGCGAACAAACTAAGGTGCGTATAATTTTTTATAATTTAAATGCTATAAAAATAAGTTGAAACAGCTATTGACGTGAATTTTTTGAATTGATAGAGGGAGAAATCTACATATGTCGCCGACGGATAGCACTAGGCCACCAGTTATGGCACAGAAGATGCTGTTAAAATCGCGCGAGGCGGAGTCGGCTTTGGCAGATGCTTTGACCCTCGACAGTATCGACAGTTACAGCAGAATACCGGGTGGCAAAGGAGATCACAGTGACGACAGTGAAAACAGCAGTATATGCTCGGAACGAAGCATAGATGGTTACAGACGAGCTAGCGATGTAAGTAGAAATTTTATCAGGAATCGAAAAATTAGAAATAAACGCGTTTATCAACTGTGATTTCTATTTTTGTTACTTCGATCAAAGAAAGAATATATATCACATTTAATCGAAGTTTCGTAATATATTTTTGTCTCGTTAAATTTATACTCTTCTCATAAACTAACACACTAGCCATTCACAAAAAATTAAATTGACGGACTAGATACATCTTCATGCATATTATCTCCATATATCATGCTGCATTAATATTAAGAATTTACGCACGTTTTTATATAATAATTAATAGATTTATTGTTTTTTATGATTAATTTTAATGCTTATATAATACTTTAGTTTCATTTCAGTTTTAGTAGCATGCAAATATATACAGAATATGAAGATATTGTTTTATAATATAATTATTGTTTAAAAATGTAATATTAATTTTGTACGGTTCGATATTTTTTTTATTAAATAAAGATAAAAAGCTTCAAAATGCCAAAAGCAGCTTTCAGCACTGTATGAAGATGTAGCTAATGCATGTGTCTGGTTTTTACTTTTGGTTTTGTTGCGGCGTATTTGTTGACTAACGCGACACGCCGTTCTGTTCTCCATATCTCTTCATCGCCCATCTACCCATTAGTCGTACTCATGGAGTGGCTCTCAACCGAGATTATACCGTGATCTATGGGATCAGTCTATCCCAAAGGTTTGTTAAATTCTTTCTTTTTATTTCTGCACACATCAAAATGAAAATACATATTATAACTCATTAGATATTTTTAAATCAATCAGTGCAGCAATTGTATTTTAAGGTTTAAAAAATTTTTATTTTGTATATAAAAACATTTTTACATTATATGTCGAAGATACTTTGAAGTAATTATGTATATTGAAACTAAAAGTTTAAAAGAAACACACAACGGTCTCTTCTCATTTTACAGGACATCAAAGAAATTATTGAAAACTGTGGTCATAAACATTGGGGAGATCGGAAAGAAGGCTTGGTGGGCTTGCAGCATTATTTGAATAGCGGAAACACATTGACAACATCAGATTTGCGTAGAGTGACGGATATTTTTACAAAAATGTTTATGGATTCTCATACCAAAGTCTTCAGTTTATTTCTGGACACATTGAATGAACTAGTGATGACTCACAGCGAAGGTCTTGGTGATTGGCTTTATGTTTTGTGTGCAAGACTGCTCAATAAATTGGGCACCGATCTATTAGGATCTATACAAACGAAGATCCAGAGAACGCTTGATATTGTAAGGTGAGGATTTGTTTGCTTTTTGCAAACGCGCGATACTTTATATTATATTAATATTATTAAATATATTGTAATTATTAAATTTTTTTACGTAATATGATTTTTGTGTTCCAGAGACTATTTCCCGGGACAACAGCTTCTACCAGCTGTGATGAGGTATCTTACAGATCCAACACAAACACCAAATTCCCGCGTGAAAGTAGCAGCATTGAAATTTATCACGCAGATCGCCGAGACGGCAGAACCGTCCGCACTTACCAGTTCTGCAGCGACAGCACTTGCGCGACTGCTCGACTGGTCGAATGACGGTAAAAGCCAAGACGTGAAGAGGCACGCGCAGAACGCTGTGATATCACTTTACAATCTCAATCCGCCTCAAGTTACTATGATACTTTCCGAGTTGCCAAAATACTATCAAGTATGTTGAATTAGCTATTCGTCAGCGTTGTTTCTTTCTATATCGTTCTCGTACTGAAATTATTGTTTTCTTTCCTTAGGAAACAGCTTGGCCCCTAGTGCAGAATCATTTAAGGAAATCGTCCGCTTCGAGTAATCCGGCCTCGCCCGGTACACCACCGCCTAGAGCGCAAAGCTCGCCAGCTCGAACGAAAGCGAAGAACGACATTAAAGTAGATGCGAGAACTGAAATCGACGGAGGAGATGAAAACATGGAGGAAGTGTACAAGTATGTTGAACGATTGTTTTGTCGCATTGATCGTACAACATTATGTTAAAGATGTATTATGTTATAATTTTGAGATATGTTAATTTAAAAATTTGTTCCATAGATCACTACGACGCACAACCGCTGAAATCCAAAATTACGGCTTTGAGCGTCTGGAGAGAGCTACTACCAGCAAAGACAGTGGAATCAGCAATATGGCCGATGTGGAAGAAAGAATAGAAGGTCTTACTTTATCCAATTCGGTAAGTTAAGTAAGAAAATACATGTGATAAACAAGAACGAGCCACACAAATATAAAATAATCTTGATTGTTAATGTTTTTAGGGCCGATCTTCGTCGGTTTCCTCACCAACGCAACGAGGACGATGTGTTAATAATATAACGGTGAACGGATCCGATACGATCGCTGGTGATTTGATTCTACCTCAAGAGAATAATGGTTATAAAACGCACGGTATGTATTTTATTATTATTATTTTTTTTTTAATTAAAAAAATGATTCCTTTATAAAAATATTGAAGTATTTCATTTTTTTTATATATATATAGGATCATCGCCCGATTTAACGAATAGACCAGAAATTGTAGATAATATGGTTAAAACTCTACAATCTAAAGTGGCGCAAACTACGGAGAAAGTATCGGTGTTACAAGAATTTCAATTATATGTTCGCGAAGGGGATGCGTTGTATGTCAAACGAAATTTCAAGTATGTTTTGATTTGTAATTTTGCATATTTTATTTGGCATTTTAATTTGAGTGATTTAACAAATTTTTGGTATTTCAGAAAAGTGCTCAAAGTTTTATTAGATAGTTTATCCAATGATGGTAAAGTGATACAGGTAGAAGTACTTCAAACGCTAATTGATATGCTTAAATGTCAAGAATTGATAGAGAGCTTCTCCTCTTATAATGAATTGCTAGTACTGAAAGTTATTTACGCCTATAAATCCGATGATCAGAAGGTTGATTCTTCTAGCGGTAGCGGCGGTAGATCACCAGTGAGTATAAATTTAATTACTTTAATTGGCAAGAATCGACACAAACATTATATTCATGACGCTGTACTTTGTAACAGGTACATTGGAACGCGGAAAAGTGCGCGGCGACGATGGCTATGGTTTTGAAGCCTGAACAAATTATACATTTAGTTTCCACCATAATCGCTACGGAGACATATCCGTTAAATATGGGTGCGATTAAGATGTTGCACAAGGTTGTGGAGCATTGGGGACGCGATGCTATCGAACCTCATCTTGCCAAGGTTATGCCGGGTCTTATTAAGGTAAAGCGTTTGGAGAAAAGTTTTCTGGAAGAAAATATCGATTTATGTATAATACTGAATATATATAATTTATATATATCATAGGCCTACGATGACTCTGAAAGCGCAGTACGCAAGAGTGCAGTCTTTTGTATGGTGGCGATCCATGTCGCAGTCGGTGAGGAGGTGCTAAAACCGCACCTGAGCAGCCTGTATTCCAGCAAATTGAAATTGTTAAATATTTATATACAACGTGCGCAGCAACAGGCGAACAGTACACCCGCCAGCCCGCGTAGCAACAGTAAAAATTAACTAACATCCAATACCACGACTCTCAGGGTCGCGATACTTAAGAGATTCGCCCGTTTCGGCGCGCGGCATGAGCGAATGCTTATGAGCTTCCTCAGTAAGTCCAATCCATAAGGGTCGACGATGGTTTTACCAATATGACTCGGAAGTTTTGATACAGTAGAGACTGATGATGTGTGGATGTGTGTGTGCGTCACTTCGCGATATGCGTGTTTGTGTAAATCTGTGCTCAAGACGACAGTGATGTTGCGTGTGAAACCAGATGATCATCGCGGTATTATGTTTCCTCTATTACTATTTGATTATAGAAAAATAAGTGCGATTATTAATGTTAATTAATTACAAATGTGAGTGAGAAGCTTTTTTACGTGAGCATCACATAGTAACTTTGATTACAAATATTGCTCTGTGATATGCTCCTGCTTATTATCTGAAAGAATTATGGAATTATTTGTGTAATATTACATGTTTGTTTGCAAAGTAAACAGCTTACGATTTGTTTAATTCTGCTAATCGGTGTTTTTATTTTATTTTCTTTTTCTTACTACGATACATGTTTTTTATATATATGATAATTTATACATACAAGAACTACACTGTGTTTTATGATGAATAGTATTCAGGAAGTGCAGTATTTTCGTTGATCAAATTTTCATTTTTGCAAATCACATAGCAGTGTTGAAACTTCTTTTTTTTTTTCTTTTTCTTTTTCTTCATAATGTTTTAATTCTTCCATCATCGTGAGACATTCAGTAAACCAGATAACTAAGAATACGCAAGGCAACATCACTGTCTACGGATTCGATATCTTTTAGTGCGCAGCCGAATACTAATCATGCGAGCTACCAGTGAACGTTACGTTAAATATACTATATGCTTGTTACCGAATGTCGAGAGTAATCGCGTGTACGGCAATACGTCGTGATGCATCTCGTAGCAACGACACGTGATAAAGAAAATGTGTGTATAATTTATTCGTTTGAAATCTATGTGCTAGTCAGATTCCCAAGGACGCACAATGACGTAAAAGACACAAACGGAATAGTCTTTCTTGACAAACCATGCGTAGACACACAAATAATACATATATACATACAAGAAAGAAGAAATATGTGTACGAGAGAGATAGAGAAAAAAAGAGAGCAATTTTAATGAGAGAATGAGAGAACATGTGGTTGATAGATTGTGCGTGTTTAAAAAATAAGCATAAATAAAGTAACAGTGATTAGCAAATCGATCTGCTCGAGACTAACGTTAACACTTAAACTATTCATCACGTTGCCAATAATTGAATGAACGCTAAATCAAACGCTAACATAACGAGTTTAGTAACACTTTGTGCCATTGTCGTTTCTGTTTATTGTATAAGAAAAAATTATATATATATATTATATGTAGATTCTTTTTGTCCTTTTCTTATTATATATATTTAGTCGAGAGATACAATATATATATATAAGGATAATAAAATTTTATTATAAATTCAGCAAGATGAATTATTGAAGAGTGTTACGACATATTAGAAATTTGTTTTGGAAACGTTTGCGTTGTCTGACGTAAGTATTACAAATGTACTGGTTATAGAATCGTATGTGAATTGTACTTGATATCAAACGCCTTCTAACACGAATCTCTAATAGTCCATTGATAATTCACTTCAGCGTGATGACGCAGTAATTCAAACATCTCGAACACAATATGGCCAAACAGTGCCAAAAAAAAGTATTGAATATAGAATGAGGAGCAATTCGAGTAAACACGAAGAAAAAAAAAAGAATATGACAGACTGTATTTCTTTTACTTGGTGCCTTCGGCGTCGAAGCGACGGGATTTGATTGTCTTTCATCATCACTTAGGAACAATTTCGCAGATAGTACAGACAAGATTAAAGAAAAGAGAAGATACAAAGTCTAACTCTCTGTTGCCGACGTCGTATAAAGTGAATATTTCGAGATAAAAACATATTGATTAATCTCGTGTAGTATATAGCGTATTACGATGCGAACTCGATATTTTTCCCATTCTGCGCTCCGAATAGAATCTCGAAAGTTTCGCGAATAAATATTTATTCTATACACGCCCCATTTGCACGCGTGTGTTGCTCGCGTGACACTTTATTCGAAAGCTGAATTATTGTCAAGACAAATACAATAGGTTCTCTCTCTCGAGATAGAGAGAGGCGAGAAGGAGCTTCGTTGTGCGCATTTAATAAACGATATTACATGCGGCATTTTCACCGAGTAATCGCATTTTTAGATCCTCTGAAGGTCCATATGCGCCAATTAAGGAACAGGCCATCCGCAAAATTATCGCGTATGAAATTAGAGAATTCAATGCAAGAATCACATACATATCTATATGTGTTTGCAAAATGAGATTGCGGGTTCGGCACTCCTAGCATTGAACACTCCAATTTTCAACATTCAGATTTGGTCGGCACAAATTTGATTTCGCGCCGACTCAGAGCCTGATGTGTATTACGATTTTATGTATATACATATACATATTATACAATATATAATATGTAGAACCTAATATATATATATATATATTAATTGATATACAGATATGTTAGGTAGCTCATCGTCACTGCCTGCAGCGTTGTGGTCGTGCTCGAGGATACGAGAGGCTCTCTGACACAGCCAGACTCTGCGTGGTGATCACGTTTATCGATTCGCTTGTTCTGTTAAGTTTTACGAGCGTTATTATTATTATATACCGATATATTCGAGAAACTTGCGTTATAACTGTCAATGCGTGTGTGATATACGTAAGGATTTACTTGTGTAACGAGCGTTACGAACGATCCTCGGCGATATCTCCTTTTTCTCCTTTTCATGCGAACGCAAACCGGGATCGTTCAATCGACGGAGAAGCTAGAATATAAGCTTTGTGCGTTATCATTTTAATGTTTATTGATACGTGTTACCCTTCTCTTACGCGCATAATGAATTTTGTCCTTAAGCGCTTCATATAAACTCGCCCTATGTACCGCTATGATCTTTTTTCGTCCGACATACGTGTCGCAATTTTTTTTATTAAGACCCGCTTTTGTGCATAATTACGAAATATCCTAACATATTTATTATCCCGAGATGCAAAGAGAATTTAATTATTATTAATATAAATCCACATGTATAGATGATAATAATTGACTGATAGCGTGACTCGTAATGATCTGCTATGCGATATACGCTTTCTGAAATTTGAAAAATTACGTAACGTAGGAAAAACCTAAAACGTTTTTTTGATAGTTTACAGGAGAGAGCTTTCGACTATAATAATATGGATATATTTAATTTTTTCCTACTCGTATTTTCGTATAAAACAATTTTTTTCTTTAATGAAATTACGCCTTTTTAATCTTGCGCGATAACC